TGGCACGAAGCTCAAGGAGGCAATCGCCCTCAAGGTTCTGCAAGTGCAGGGTCAGGAGGGAGTGTGCCTCCTTCCATTTTGCACCCTGGGCACCTCAGTCCTCACCCTAGTCCCAGCTCTGAGACCCCTACAGGGTCAGCCAAGGTCACAGCCTTGTCTCCCTCCCCCACACCTCCTTCCCCCATCAAGGGGTACAGGATGTGGGAGAGCTTGGTGAGCACCGGCTGCAGGAACCTGTGGGAAGATGAGTTCGTTATTCGCCTCTTCCCCACTGCACCTCGCACCTGCCCACAGGCTTAACAAGAGCAAGCAAGGTGTGCAAGGCCATCCTCGGCCAGAGCGCATTCCCACAAAGCCCAGCTCAGCCCAGGAGAAACGCCTCTGCGAGCTCTTTGTATAACACTGAACTGTGGGCCTGTCCTGACCCTACAGAGGGTTTGACTGCTTGCTAAGTGAGGTGCAGAAATGCTCCGGAGACCCTCCTCAGTGTTTTCCTGCAGTTCCATGGACAAGGCCTGTGGGGAGCCTCCCTGAGCATGGGGGTGGGTGTGGGTGTGAGGTGGAGAGTGGGACCTGGCAGGACTTAGCATGACCCCATCTGCCCACCTTGGTCCTGGGGTGCTGCCCAATGTGCTCCAAGGGCATAGGGCCCTGAGCCCCTGTGCCCGGCCGCTGCTTAGGCCAACTTCTCATCTTCCAGATGGGAAAGCTGGCGCCGAGAGGGGCAAGGTTTATCCATGTTAGCACAGGACAGCCTCCACGTAACAGTGATGCAGCAGCCGTGGATGTGGGCTGCTCAGGCAGGGAGCAGAGTCCCTTTCTCTGAAGGCCTGAGCTATTTGGGATAGCATTTTACTCAGCCAGCAGGATCCCAGGGACATTATGTGAAACCGGAAGAAGCTTCCTCAGGGACACCGTCAGCCAAGGGGAGAGGCAGCATGTGGATTGGATGGAGGGGATTTTATCCAGGTGAAGCCCCTGCTGTCAGTAACCCTCTGGGTCTTGGGTTTTTTGTTTGTTTTTTAAGGTACAACAAAATTAAAATTTTCTTTTTCATTAAAGATTGTGCCCATCTGAAAAATATAAAATGAAGAAAAACATCAAAATATTTTTGGTTTGTAGCTTAGTTTGTGGTTTGGCCTGGAACTTCCTGCATATGTTTGTGTGGGGAGTCATGGTGGCCCTGCCGACCCCCGGCTTCCTCTCCACCCTGCTCATGAGGTCAGGTAAGACAACCAGGCAGTGGCAGGAAGGCTGGGTGCCTCAGCTGGGAGGTCCTAAGTGGAATCTGGGCCAGGCCTCAGCCTTTTGGGCTATAAAGTAAGGGTTTATGGTAAGTGATTTTGGTTTCCAAAATTGTGCTGTGATCATTCAGGAAGTGGGCAAAGAGTAGGGGGTGTCTGCAGAGGACTTGGTGTGGATGGAGGGTCACTGCAGCTCCATTGCTCCTGGTGGGGCAGGGAAATCTCTGCACCTGGGGTCCCTGGCAATGTGCATTCCTTCGTCAGAGCTGCTGCTTTTCATCATCATTTTGCATTTTGCAGGCCTTGCAGCCTGTGAATGGAGGAACTGGGACTTGAACCTGGGCATTGGGTTCCAGAGTCTGAAATGGAGGTGGTGGGCCACCTCCAATTTAGAGCAGTTCTAGTAGCCACGGTTCACACCTCTTTCCATAGGCCAAGCACTTGCTGCTCACAACCTGTGAGACAGACACGCTAGCACCTCCATTTTCCCAAGGAGGAAGCTGCAGCCCCGAGGACTGGTGTCACCTGCCAAGGTCACACGGCTGGGTCAGGGTGCCCTGGAGCCTCAGACTTGGCAGTCTGTTCTCATCTACTCAGTCTTAAGCTGCTTTTGCTAGTGAGAAACTTAACAGAGAGTGTGGCCAAACCGTCTTTCCTGTTGGTAAAGTTGGAGGAGGTATCTTGCCCTTTTTAGGGGGTCCTTTGGTCCCAAAGTGGGAGGGCACTGTTTCTTTTCCAAAAGATGTTCAGAGAGGATGGTCACGTTCCCTGAACATCCCCAGGCAGGAAATTAAACAAGGTTGGTGCTGAGTAAATGCAGAGATGAAGTTTACACAGCTCTTTACACAAGCCAGAGCGACCTTCCATTAGGAAGCTTTGTGTACCCATACATTTAAGTCTCGGGAAAGATTATAAAGGGCCTTGGAGGTTGGCTTTGACAGGCAGAGGTCACAGGGCTGGGATCCCTGCGGGACCTCTTCCCCATTACGTGGTCGCTGAGTGACACACGCTCCCTCCCTGCTGGCCTGTCTGCGGAGAGACCAAGAGAGTCGAGGCAAGGGTGCCTTTCCTGCTGCGATGGGGCCATTCGTTAGCTGTTAAATGGAAACTTGGGAGACTGCAAGCATTACAGCCCCAGGATTTCATAAACTGCTGCACCGGTCCTTGGTGCCTGGTAAAGCTATTTTTATTTCTTCTGCTCACTAGGGGAATTATTATTAAAGCACTCAGCATCACCAAGAGGCTGGGGTGAAGATCAAGGGTGAAGTGTTGCTGTCTGAGGTTGGAGTTCATTGCTGCTGGTGTTGGTTTCCCTGTGTACTGTGAGTATTTAACCGCTGGAGTGGAGTGGTCTCCGCATCCTCTGGGAACGCTGGTGGTGCCCTTGCTTGCAGACTTTTATTTTAACCATCGCCCTTGGCAATGTTTTTGTTTTGTTTTGTTTGGGTTTGTGTGTGTTTTTGGTTTTGTGTTGTTTGTTTTCATTTTTGTTTGGTACAGATGGCTTTGGCAACCATAGTGATTTGTGACTGAAGGTTGCATTTTAGAATGTCCATTTTAAGAACTGAATAGCAAGTAGGCCAAGCCCAGGCTCTGAAATGAAGTGATTTTCCAAATGGAAGCAGACAGCAGTGGGTTTGGAGAATGGTCATGCCAGGGCTTTCGAGGGGTTGCAGTCTGGTTTGTGAAACAGGAAAACTGGAGAAAGGGTGGGGTATGAGGGAGAGACGGTTCTGGAAGGAAAGAGCTCACAAAAGGTCTCCAATCCCAGAAAGGGCGTCTCCACCTCTGTCCTCTGATCCCACGGGCCTGTGGGTCTCTTAAGGTCAGGGGGTGAGATGGAGGGTCAGTGACATGATTCACGGGCTGCCTGGGACCTGGGTGTGCAGGCTGTGGGTGCTGGCTCTGTCTCTGGTGATGGGGTGACTCTGGACATTTTTTGGACAAAGTCTCACTGGTTAGTGCCTCAACATCCTTCTCTTTGGTTTCAGTGACATGTGACCTCGCCTGCCTTTCTGAGTCCCTCTGGCTGTGTGGCCTCCAGCCAAGTGGGTTCCAGTGACACAAGGCTTGCAGGCTGCTGAGACATATTGCCACCCCCGGGCGCCATCACCTAGCCTCCTGTGGGAAGGACAGGGGTTTGCGTGAAGGTGAACCTGCACTCCTGCTGCTGCCTGGGCCTGACCGGGTGTTGGGTGGAGTCAGAGTAGGGTCATTGCACACTAAGGAACAGGCCACTGCTCTGGCCAAGAGTGGGATGTAGGCTGAAGCTGGCATGGAGCCAGCCTATGCCAAAAGGAATGGGACTGTTGTTTGAGATTAGTAGCCAGGCTCAGGGGTACCTGGCCTTCTGGCTGGGGCCCTCTGGTCCCTGTATCAAGGCAGGGGGTACCTGGCCTGTGAGGTTACACTTGGAGGGACACTGAGAGCCAGAGGGGATGCCTGGGGCCCAGAAGTGGTGACCGGCAGCAAGGCAGGGTGGGGGTACGTTTAGTCAATTAAGAGGCCCCCCAACCCACCCCATCTGTGGCATGTTGGAGAACTACTTCATGCAAAGGTCTGGGGCTTGGTGGTGAGGCCAGGGCAAAGGAGCTCACTCAGGAAGAGCTGGCTCTTTTTGGATTGAATTGCCTAAGGTTTGGTACGCATACATCAAGTGGCATGCAAGATTATTTTAGATGGCACGTGGGTACGGCATTAAACATCATCGAATCACACAATGCGAAAGTTAATGTCTCATAATCAGCTTTAATTATTCTGATGATGGCAAGAGGAAAAATCCAGTTTGGTCCTGTGTCAGTCTGGATCCTCTGAGAAGCACATGCAAGAGATTTACTGGTAGAAATGCCTGTTGAGGATAAAAGGTGTGGGAGCTGGAGTACACTGGGAGAGCCTCCAGGTAACAGTGCGGGTCTGACACCTCTAAGAGGAAAGGGGTAGGAAGGACTTGGTAGGAAGCACCACAAGCTAAAAATGTCTCATGCAGGCCAGTGGGCGGCCTGTCAGAAGAGCCCCGTCAGGCAGGATGTATGCAGCTTTGCGGAGTTGGGCTCAGAGCGTGGTCAAGAGTAGCATCATCTGTCCCCTGCTGGGACTGGTGACCTTTCACATGGGGCTCTTGAGGCCTGAAGGAAGGGACAGCTGCCAGGGGTTGAAGTCCTAGCCAGACTCACCTCTCCTCAGAAGCCCCCCTCCTCGCCCCTAGCCCCTGGTAACCTTTCCTCTCTGGCCTCGCCCCCCGACAGTCTCCAGCTATTTACTGATGGCTTTGACTGGGTACCTCAGATTCAGAGTCTTCCAAGGGTGAGAGTTGCACCCTTGGGTTCTGAGTCTGGGCTAAGGTCAGAGCCCTGGGTCCCAGCCAGACCCCCTCAAAGCCAGTGCTTTGTTTTTGTGGTCAGTGGTATAAAGTTCACGTGTGTCCTCTCATTGCCGTCGGCATTGCCGCGGGGGCTCCTACGGCCCAGGTGCTGAGCCCGCTGCCCTGCCCTGTGCTCTGTGGTCCATCCTTAGGGGCAGATGCAGGTTTTGTGGAGCCTGCAGCTCCTGCATCTCAGGGGCCCTCTCTGAGAACAACAGCACAATATTAGGTTTTTTTGTTTTTTTTGCGGTACGCGGGCCTCTCACTGTTGTGGCCTCTCCCGTTGCGGAGCACAGGCTCCGGACGCGCAGGCTCAGCGGCCATGGCTCATGGGCCCAGCCGCTCTGCGGCATGTGGGATCTTCCCGGACCGGGGCACGAACCCGTGTCCCCTGCATCGGCAGGCGGACTCTCAACCACTGCGCCACCAGGCAAGCCCCCAAATTAGGTTTTAAAGTAAATAATTATTTAGAATGAGAAAGAATCAAAATAAACGAAAAAGCTGACCAAGATCCAACGTCCAGGAAAACAATCCAGACTGGCTTCTGGGGCCATACGACTCAAACCACAGTTCCCTTCCATCATCACATTCCTCGGTACCCGGTGTTTGGTGACAACTCCATATCTGGTCCCCCCTCTGACCCTGCACCTTCGTGTCCTGACACCTGTGAGCTGAAGTGGTGGGAGTTCTCCTGGGATCCCCAGTGGAGGGCTGGCGGTACCTTACCTCTAAAGTAACTGGAAACCACTTAGTTACATGCACTAACACTTGGAGGAAATGTATCTCCAACTTGGCCTCCTCTCAGCTGGATTGCCCGAGTTTCCACGTTTCCTTCAGTGCCACCCAACCTGAGGAAAAGTGTGATGGGGGAATTTGTAGTGGAAAACAATAGTCTTAGCTGTTGCTTTTGCAAATTTTATAAACACATGACAGGTCAATGTGAACTGGGTGGGGGGGTGGGCTGAAGCTTAAGCTTCATTGCCTCACCGTAAACCCAGCTGGATCCATCCTGAACACGTTCCTCTGCCAGAGGGAACCTGTTATCCTTAGGTCACTGTCCGAGTCAGTGACCTACAGTGGCTCCCACTGACCTTTCTAAAATGAAACTCATTCCCCTTGATTTTTATTCTGGTTGTAAAAGTAGTATTTGGTCATTACTGAGAAAATATAAACAAGGGTAAAGGAGACAATGAACGTCATCCTGGAGCAAACCCTGCAGGCAAGCAGTAACAATTTAGTTTCAGTCTTCCATCCTCTGCTAGGGGTTTGACAGGACATTGAGACAGGTTGGAATGTCCAGACGCCCGCACGTGGGCTCGCATTGTGCTCCCCCTTTCAGCCTGGCTGGTTATGTAGCACGGGGAGTGACAGGGTCCGGATCCTGGTCAGAGGCTATGAGCAGATGGGACCATGGATGTGGGGACAGGCCGGAGAAAGACCCCCTGACTGAAGAAGCAGCACATTGGTGTTAAAGAATGTGCTGATTCACATGAAGAAACCTGAGAGAATGTCCTTTTTGCTCTGTCAGTTCTTCACAGGGAGGGAGGGACAAATATGCCCATGGCCTGATTCATGAGGAAATGTGATTATTTAAAAAAAAGTTTTAAGTGAGAGAACTGAAGCTGTCCTTTAAGTGGCATTTTCAAACCTAAATTAGAAACTACATTAGCATTGCCATTTGATGCTGAGGCACAAGAAGTTTGGCCTGTTCCTCCCCTGGGGCTCAGGCTCCCAGGTCAGAAGTTAGGGGGCCTCCATCTGAGAAGGTTTCTTCTGGAGAGTCATGCGTGGTCCCTGCACCTCAGTACTGCTGGGGAAGGGGCTTTTCCCACCACTCCCTAAGGAGGCTGCCTGCAGGCTGTCTCTGCTGGATGGGAGAAGTGGGCTGGATGACTGGGAATCATCTGGCCCTTCTTTGAGAAAGCCTTTAAAATGACACTCCCCCAGATACAGTGTTGAGTGGATTTTCTCAACATCTCAACTGCAACCAAAGAGGGAAAACAGGAAGATGCATGGGGGTGTTAAGGGCATTCGAGAAATGACAGTCCCCCATCCAGCCCGGTGGGGTCCTGAGTTCACTGGCCCGGGCAAGTAAGGGAGTGTCCTGCACTGCCCCACAAGGGTTGCTGAGCCGTGGGGTAGTGTTCTCCAGGGACTGGGTCTGTGTCCCCTTATGGTACCTGTTCTCCCCAAACCCCTTCACAATCACCTGGGAGCTTTTAAAATGCACGTTCTGTCTCAACCCTGAAGATTTGCATCTAGCATTTGGAGCTGGGAGTGCACATGCGTGTTTGTGTGTGTGTGTGTGAGATATGTCCTCAAGCACTGACCAAGGCGTCCTCCTGTGTGCCCTGACACCTGTGATCCTTGCTTGCAGGCAGACGGCAGTCAGACTGCCCAACATTAACTGCCTCAGGGAAGGGATGACAGATTTAACAAAGGAGTCAAATTACTGGTTTTTGAGTACCAAAAGTCTAGGCCTTGGTATAAAGTTTGGAACAAGACATGATGAGTGAGGGCAGGGCCGTGGCTGGCACATATGGCACCTGTGGGTGAATTGTGAGAAGGTGCCTTTCTGCTTGCCAGGGCAAGGGCAGATTTTAGCCTCTGGTTGTGCCCTACCCCATAGCAGGCCACATTTGTGCAGTGCACACACTGCTTAACCTTATGTGGTAGCCCTTAGAAGAGATCTCCCTGATTTGGGGGCAGGGCCGGGAGGGAGGTGAGGAGAAGAGAGCTGGTGGGAAGACGAGGCGACCTTAGATGCTGGTGGGTCCCTGAGAAGGGAGCACAGGGGCTCTCTGCCTTGGAACAGAGAACAGAAACGCAGAGGGTTTTGGGGAACAGGGTGCGGAGGGAGATAATAGATAGCTTTCTTGGGTAGAGTCCTAGGGAGGCAGAAGCCCCAGAGTGTGGATGGCTCCCCCAGCCCCACCGGGTGCGAGGCGGCAGAATAACTCCTGCAAGCTCAGCTTAGCATATGTGGAAGTGCCAGGGGAGGGGGCACAGCTAGCTTCCTCCGGCTCTACAGCGGTTGGGAGACAGAGGAGGGCTTCTGTGCCAGTGCTCCAAGGAGGCCATGACAGTGGCAGGACGTGCCTGAGGACGTCTTTGGGATGGGAATGAGGGTCTGTGTGGCAGGGGCTTGCAGGGCTGACCTTTCAGAAGCAGAGAGAACAGCGGTGGTGGACACCGGTGCAGGGAGGACCACCCACCTTCAGTCCGCAGAATTTAGCTCAGGGCCAGGAAAGTAGGTGTGGGGACTCGGAACTTTGATTTCTACCACTTCAGGGGCAGGATCCTTGCAGAAATCGACTCATGGAAAAGTAGCGGGACATTTCTTACCCACTTGAGGTTGTGGATTAAGACTGATATAATATGCAAAGAAAACCATAAGTAAATACCTCCTAATAATGATCTCTGCATGGTAGGATTAAGGGCAATTTTCTTTTTCTCCTTTTTGAGTGCTGAGGTTTTTGAAAATTTTTCCAGTGACCATGTTTGCTTATTTAAATGAGAATAATAATGTTTTAAAAACTGTAATTTGCTTTTTTATCTCTCTCCCCTCTCTGGGGTCCTCGTTCCTTAAGTGCCTCATCCGTCACGCTTCCTTCAGCCCCTCTGAGCCTCCTCCCTGCCCCAACCTGGCAGGCACTGGCTGAAGGTGGGGCTGGAGCCCAGGAAGGTAGCGGCCCTAGTCAGGAGTCCTGGAGTCATGATGACACCGACAACACCGTCACCAAGGACACTTTCCTGTCCTCTCTGCACCCACTTGAGAGGACAGCCAGGGTGGAAGAGATACTCTTATCATTTTTGGCGTTGGGGAGATTGTCTCTCCTCCCCCCCAGGTAGGAGGGTGTAGGCTGGGCTCTGCTGAGCCAGAGGGTGAGTGGGCTGGGCCTTTCCACTGTCCAGACTCCCAAATGACACCCTTTCCCAGAATCTGCTGCTCGGGCCCCTCAGAGCCCTTGCTCGAGAAGGCCCATGTGGGCCAGTCAGGCCATTTGGAGAGAAAGGGAGAAGATGCCAAGCCAGTGGGCCCCTTTAAGGCATCCCTGCCTGGGAGGGGGGCCGGGATGAAAATAGAGCGGTGGCCGGAGCAGGGCTTAGTGAGCTGGAGGGAGAAACGTGCTGATTATTAAAGACCGAATTACCTGGGTCTAATTACAAACACACTTAAGCAGCACATTTCTTCCTGATACACAACAGAAGTGGCTCAGATTCTATCACAAAGAGTCGGAAAGGGTGATAAAAATAAAAAACGGATCTCAGCCGTGTGTCTTTCCCCGCTCTCCCTCCCTCCCCCAATTAGTTGTGGTGGGAAGAGAAGTGGACCTCCCCCCGCCCCCCAACCAACTTGCTCAGCCTGGTGGGAGCTTGGAGCGTTCTCCCTGCCATTTCTGTTGGCAGAACCCGCCTGCATGGGGATGGAGGAGATGGAGGGATGAGGGGTCCCTCCCAGGACATCCAGGAAGCTTGCTGTCCTCACTGGGGCAGGTTGTCTGCTCAGGGATCTGCTCTCTGACTCCAGGTGAGCCCTAAGGTCGCAGGACAGAGGCATCTCTCTGCCTGTGCCCCCGTGCAGGCATGACATTTCCTCACCTCCAAGAAACAGGACACCAAATCCAAACAAGGCCATCCCTGGAGAATGTTATTACCCAGCCCCTGTTAGTGTTTCCAGTCCCTTTACTGTGTTTTCACTTCATAATGATGCTGTTTGATAATGGTTATGCAACATAGGATAGAGTGGGGTTGAACTGCCCATCCCTACTTTTTTTCTTAGTGCCTCCAATTCTTTATGCCCCATCTTTTCTACATGTCCAAATGTTACACATCCTTCCAAAACTTCACCTTGGTGAAGACAAGAGAGCTAGCAAGAGCGCTAGACCATGAGTGCCCATCAGTCAAGCAACTTGATAACTATACTGTTTGGCAACGGGGCTTCTGTAGCAATGGTGTCCAAATACAGTCGACCCTCAGGAGCATCTTAAAATATAGATTCCTAGGCTCACTCCCTGTCTGGCAATCTACAGTATCAGCAAGTGTCCCCAGGGATTCTGAGGCAGGGAGTCCTAGGACTGCACTGAGAAATGCCCTGAAAGACTTGTCCCTCCTGCCCCAGGCTGCCTCCCAGGACAGGGCTTCTACACATGTTGTCCAGCCGAAGGGCACCCCTCCCATTCATCTGTGTTCATGGGCACCCACCCTGCACCCAGTCCCGTTCACCAGGCTCAGGGGCCCCGGGGGTTGAACTTCCACTCAATGGGACCGTTGCATCGCATAAGCTCTTTTCTATGCAAAGAGGATAACAAATCCTGCCCTGCCCACCTGGCTGGGTTGTTGTTTGAATTAAGTGAGATAAGGGATGTGAAAGTGCTCTGAGAGCTGTAAGGCTGGGAATCGAAGGGAAGGTTATCTGTGCCCGCTAGGCAACGATTCACTGACTGTCTTGTGACGTCGCCTCTGTACTGTCCACCACGCTTATTAAAAATCTCACAAATCTACTTAACCACTCCCAGCCGAGGGCTTGGCTTCGCTGACTGGCTGCATTCAGCTTGTTCAGCAAAGCCTGCCTCCTTCCACAAGATGGCCAGAGCGGTGTTGTTGGTTTCTGTTGGTGGACAGAAACAGGATTTCTTCCCAGGTGGAGCAAAGCTGACCTGGGTAGATGGGAGCCCACACTGTGGCTTCATTAACACTTGCTGACTTGTGTTCTTGGGCTGTTGATTGAGGCCCCAGGAGTAAGTCATTCCCTTGGGGTGAATGGGTAAGATGCCTCTCCTCTGGTGGGGGGACCGTGCTTTGGTTCCTTTGTTTGAGTTATCTACCGCTTGGGTGAGACGCCACCTCCAAACTTAGTCTTAAAACAACACTCTATTGTTTCCCGTGATTCCGTGGTTGACAGGCTTCAGCTGGGCGGTTCTGCTCCCCGCGGCTGACCCGCTGCCGAGCCTACTCTCAGTTGGGAGCTTGGCTCCACTGGAAAGGACCAGAGGCTTCTCACCCTCCCAGGTTTCTCTCCACGGCGTCTGCACAGTGAGTTGTGCAGCCGAGCTTCTCCACGACGTAGCAGCCGCCTACCACGAGGACGAGCCCCTGCTTACGGAGCCGCTGCTGGTGCTCAGCCGGACCCCCCGAGTCACAGGACCAAGCCTAGCGTCCACGTGGGAGGGGAAGAAGCAAAGGCAGGCGGCCGCAGAGGCATGCGTCCTGGGGGCCCCTGATGTGCTAATTCCCCACAAACTCACTTTCTTTCTTGGGAAGTCACCCCCGTACATCATAGAAGAGTGCAGCAGCCAGGCTTGTGTTTACCTGCTCTCTTTCCACTGGCGCCAGTGTTGCTGGGCTTGGAGGCCTGGGGTGTGACTTGGGGAAGTTCCAGAGACCCCCGCTCCTATGCTCTGTGCCAACGGTGGCTTCTGTCCCTGGGCGACCACAGCCTGTACAGAGGAGACTCAGAGGCCTGACAGGTAAGCAGTTTCTCTGTTACTTTCTGCAGTAGCACAGCTGCACACGCATGCTGCCTCTTGCATGTCAGTTCTGGTCTTCTCTTTCGGGGGTGGCCTCCGCAGAGGCCTGTGGGAGCCCCTGCACAGGCTCCATGAAGATGGTGCCACAGACCTTGTCACTCTTCATGTTTGCTTGGGTTGCCTCAGGTCTCTGCCGCCAGGGGACCCGTGTGACAGTGTGTGGGGGGCCCTGCCTCCTCTGGCTGGAGAGTGCTGGGAGCCAGATCTCATTCTCACCTCCAAACCCCTCTCCTCACGTCTCTGACCAAGTGGTGGGCGCCGGGGGTGACGAGCGGGGTCTTGGTGTGGCCTCGGGTCTCTTCAGAGCTGCGGGCACCTGGCCCAGGACCCTGTGGGTAGATGTGCACCTGGGCTGTGGGAGTGACAGTTCCTTTGGTTTCCTCACACATCTGGGCTTTTGTCTCAAACCTTCGGCTCCGTTTTCTGGAAGAGGTCCCTTCTGTTTCACCTCAGGCTGAATCTTTCATGTAATATGTATGTATGCAGGGAGAGGACAGACTGGAGGGTCTTTAAGAATCAGCAAAATGGTATTTCTACCCTTTGGGAGAAAAATTGAGGATGTGTCCAGAGTGACTAGAATACTGATCTGTACCAGCCTCTCGCTGCAGCCTCAGCACAATGGGAATCACTCACCTCTGAGTCGCTGCCATTCACCTGGAGGCTCGGAAGTCCCAGGGCGCGGGAACACATCCGTGTGTCTTTGGAGAGGGACATCATGAGACACTCTGGCCCCCCAGCCCCATGGCCTTTGCTGAGGCTCAGAATACACATTCTGTTCATGCTTCTTGTGACAGACAGTGATGATGCTGTGAGCATCTTTACGTGAAGACGTGTCTGAAAAAGCAGCTATGCTCTCAGAACATTCACCTTCATCCGGGCTCCACAGGCCTTGGGGGCTTCTAATTTAGTTTTGCAGGCTGGGGAGCCACCAGAGGCTGTGGTTTGCGGGGATGTTTGTCTTGTGATTGATTGGAGCTGAGAGTGAAACCCTGGGGCTCTGTTCTGTTGTACCCTTGAAGGGATCAGGAGTTGCTTCCTCCCTCGAGGAGACTGACCCAGCTCCGGTCTGGGGTGGTCACTGCTCCCCCAGCACCACCAGTCTGAAAACCCTATGAGTCACTGGTACAGCTGCTGGGATTCATGCTACTCTCAACGATCTAAGCTCACCGATAGCAGCACAAGTCCCCCAAATCCAGTATTGAGTTGTATCGTTACTTATGTAACCTGAATAGTCCACTTCACCAGCCTGCACCTGCAAGTAAGGCTACATTTCCTCCTTAGAGCAGGAACCTCGTCAGCCAGAAATTGGTTATCCTCAAACTCTTTGCTGGTTGTTTTGGGGGTTTCTGAGTGGTTAGCCCCCCAAACAAGGGTGATAACTGTAGTCACTATGCCCGCTGCCTCGTCCCGCTTTCTGCTTTGGCCCCCCTTGGTCTCCCCACTACTAACTGCCAGCAAAGCTGTTGAGAGGTGCCTCACTGGGGCCACTGTCCATCACAGAAGTGCCCAGGGTGCCAGTTCTGGATCCTCTCCCGGTCCTGAGCTGCACCCATCACCTGGGCCCCAGAGCAGCCAGTATGTCCAGCGTCTTGTGGATTCACTCTTGAACAGTTTAACCAGACTGATACCATCACCCACCGTGTCTTCTTTAGAGTCTCAAGAAGAATAACCCTGACAGTTTCTGGCCCTTGCTCCTCTAACTACAGAAATGCAAAACAGCCCCAGGGGGAGGATGGGGCAAATAAGTCCTGGAGTCATTTGTGTTCATCAGGATTCTGAGGATGTAAATGACATCCAGAAACCCAGTGGAAACTAGCATCAACAAACATGAGACTTTATCTGGCAGCAAAGCTGAGAAGGCTTCTGGAACAGTTCCTCAGATGTAGGAAGAGCTTCAGGAAGAAGGGTATCAGGGGTGAGAATGTGGCACAGCTCCCCTCTCCACCTTTCCTCTCTTCCCTCTCCCTCTTTTTTTCTCCTCTCCCCACTCCCCTCCAACCTTTACTTCTTCCCTCTCCTTAATTTCTCATCTGTGACCTCATTTGCAGACAGCCTGTCTGTGTGGCAGGGAGGGGTCTACTGGTGTCCCAGATTCACATTCCCCTGTGCAGCAACCCTACTGGAAAAAAAGATCTCTCTTTCTCAGTGTGTGCATAGATATCTCAGGGCAGGCATGTGATCACCCGGCTTGGGGCTGTGTTGGTTTCAGGGGCATGGGGTACTCTGGTAGGTTGTGTTGCGGTTGGGGTGAGATCTGTTTCCAGCCAAAGAGGGGTCACAGCCACTACAAAGCCTGCACGCTCGTGCCCTCCCCCACTCCACTCCTGCCTGCCCTGCCTTCATCTGCTTTATCCACGAGCACACAGGGCCCTGGAGGTGGTTGGGTGGAAGCGGCACAGTTAGCAGTGCTATCTACCCTGTGAGTGTTGAGTCTGCACTCAGACACCTGAACGAGTCCTGGCGTGCTTTTATTTGCATATACGAGGCCTTCTCTGGCCTTCTGCTTCCCCAGCGCACTGCTGGGACGGCAGGCCGCTGGCCTGGGAGCGTGTGGGGTCAGTGCCACGGGACCCACGGCCTCGTCTGTCAGTGGGCACAGCTGATGGGCTCGTTGGGCCCAGTTATTCCTGATGCAGACACTCTGAGGACGTGGAATCCGTACTTTTTAATCGTACTGTAATGAGAGTGCCCTCCACGCCTGTCCCGCTTGCTCCGGGGAGCCCCATCCTTCCCCCTCCTGCTCCTGCCTCCCTGGATGCCTACGGAGGGCGGCTGGGTGAGGACCTGGTCTTCCAGCTGTGGTCCCAACTCTATGGCCCTGAGCACTGTTCCTCCACAGGCAGGGCCAGGCTGCCTTGGCCTCTCAGCTCTCAGGCCCTCCCCTCCATCCCTCTCCTGCCCCCTCTGAGGGAAGCAGGGCTGGGTAGGGGAGAGCCCTAGCTCCTCAAACACCGCTTCTCTCAAACGTTTTGATTCTTTCCTCAATCCTCTCTCTTCTTTAAAGACTCAGGCCTTTGGGAACCTAAGATCTAGACACCTTTCTTTTTTCCCTGCGTCTCTGTCATTTTTTCCCTGAGGTAAAGGGCCTGGGACATCCCTGTGGCTTGACCGGTGGGAAAGCAGAGGGAGAAACCCGGCTCCTTTACCTAGGAAGAGCCAGCCAGGCGGCCTCTGCTTCGAGGCTGGGGAACCTCGGAAGCTTGCTGTGTCTGCAGAGAGGGCGGAAGGGGGTTTGCTGCCTGGTTAACCAGCCTGGGTTGATTGAGGTCCGCGTGCTTCTCCTGGAGTCCCTTCTCGCTAGTAGATCACCCTTCAAGGGGTAAGAGGAAGGGATGGGATAAACATAGAATGGGGCGTGGCCTGCCTGCCACAGCGGGATCAAAACTCCTAATTCCTGTCAGCCCCCCAGAGCCTCAGGCTCTACCCTTTACAGAAGCATTAATGAGTGCTTTCAGGAGCGACAGGCCGTGAGGCTGCTTATTTTTAACCAGACAACGGAGGCTGAGCTCCTGAGTGGGACAAGGTGTCTCAGTCTCCCTGAGGCAAGCAGACCTGGAGGTGTCTGTCCCGGGCTTCCCAGGCCTGCAGCCGCTGGGAGGAACATTTGCAGAGTCGCACCCAGGTTAGGGAATCTCCTTCGGCCTGGGCTGCTTTGACCAGTGTTTTGTCTCCTGGGCCTCCTTGGGACGGAGGGAGGTGCTCTGTGATGGGCAGAGGAGGCCGGCTGTGCTTTCTCAAGTGTGTGAGCTCTCCTGCTTCAGAAATAGCTCTGGGTACTAATTGGGGGTTTTTGCCCAGGAAGTGTTACTAGGATCTGTCAGGTCCTACTAGGAACCATCGGAAGGTGACAAGTCGCTGGAGACCTTGACACTTAACCACTGGTTACCCAGAAACCTGGACAGGGCCGCCTCTCCGGAGCCCCACAGCACTGGGAGACAGGTTACAAGCATACACTAAAGTTACAGACTAAATAATGACTGTTGTGTAGAGGGCTGCGAGGGGACAGATCGGGTGCTTTGGGAAGTGTGAGTCTGGGGGGGGCCTGGGCCCTTTCTCCTCCCCCTCTCTGTACTTGTGCCTTTCCCAGACTCCGTTCCTCTGTCTCCTGCTTCGTCTCTCCAAGAACTGCTTCTCCTGCCTGGCTAATTCCACAGGAGCCAAGGAAATGGGGGAAAGTAAGGGAGGTTGTCAGTGCCTGGAAAACCACTAAGCCCCTGCCTCCGGCTCCAGGCTGCCAGCTCTGCCAGCCCTCGGTCCCAAGGCCTCTCCAGCAGCTTTCCATGAAAGAGACGTCCCTCCCCGCCTCCACCACCCTCTGGCAGCCATGAATCCGTTCCTGGACTACCGTCACCCCCCCTAGATGTGGCAGCCAGGGCCTAACGGGCGCTGCTAGTTTTCGTTCCCAGTTTTCAGTTACTTAGTGGGACTTGTTTTCCTTTATCTCCTTAAGGGGCAAATTGGAGACTTGGGTTTGATAGGAAAAGATCACCCCAGGACTTGAAAAATAGGGTTGCCAGCTGCCTCTGGTAGAAAAGGCAGATAGGGAAATTGAATAATGCATCTTAGAAATGTTTATTAGCATTCTGATGATGATAAGTGAGGGATCGGAAAGGAAATCTTCCACAAGTGTTGGCCATTTGTCCCCTGGTCAGGGAGGCTGGTGTGCTTTGTGGGAAGAGTAGTTGATGTATCCCCCACTGGACACATATGTGTCTCATCCCCGATACTTAGCAAGGGACCCGGGAGATTCTGCTGAAGGGATTCAGTCATCATCTGCAGGCTTTTGGGGGTGGTGGTGGTGGAGCCTGGATGAGCCTTTGAGAAAAGCTGCAGGTATTCTCTCCATAACAACGCACCCTCACAAAGACAAGCTCACAATTTGATGGGCACTTCAGGATTCGCAGGTTCTTTGAAATCCATCCATGGACCCTCACATAGACCCCAGGTGAAAAACTCCTGGACCAGAGCTTACATCTGTAAGGCCCCCTGCACATACATGTGCCCCCGATCCCTGTCGGACGCCTCTGCTACCTTCTTGCTGAGCACTGGGTACTGGTGCCAGGAAGGCCTGGGTTGGAGTCCCATTTCAGGGCAACTTCTCCAGTCACCCATCTTGGCTGCCAAGGCCCAACAAATGTGGGCTTTTCTCCCCCTAGAAATGGGGAAGATTTGGCAACACTGGGCCTGCATTCCTTATGGCAACAATTAGCTGGGCTTGGTGTCTGTGCCTGCTTTAGGTAGGGCATGGCTGTCTGGGTTGTCATGGCCTCTTCCCGCCACCTCAATGCTGGGACCAATTCAGTTCTGTTTATCACCCCAGTTGATCTGCACTTTTCTTAGAGCAGAGTTAAGCAAACAGTTTTATCTCTGAAGATATACTGCATATCACAAAACACAAGTCTCCTCATACGTATGCATATAGAAAACACTCATATATGCACATGTACACGCACATACCTGTTTGGCCCACCCAGGTTGTCTGCAAGGCATCTGAATTTGTGACCTGATCCTCTTCCTCCTCATAGGGTTGCTGTGAGGGTTCAGTGGACTGATGCATGCAGAGCCCTCAGCACAGTGCCTGGTACACAGCAGGTGCTCACTCAGCACATCCAGCTGGTGTTACTAGTAAGTGATCCTTGGGGCCCAGTGGCATCTCCTCTAGCCCGCTCAGAATGGGCGTTGCTCGGGACTGGGGCGCTCTCTTGTGGCTGCTCTCCCTACTCACACCTAGGCCCCGCCGGAAAGATTTTAGGCTCCTTTCATCAGGCTCCCCTTCCCCTGCCACTCAAGGGGAGAGCGGGAGAGGTGGGATGGGAGAAAACGTCCCGCTTCCCTCACCATTTCCTTTGCCTCCTTTCTGACCTTGGGGAGGTTGGGGTCACTAGGTCTGGAGACAGGAGGAGACGCCTGGAGGTGGGGGTCCTGGCTGCGTGACTCCCATGGGTGGTACCTGCCCCCTCCCACTTGCTCATTCTCCTCCCAGAGCAGCAGATGCCCAAGGCCACCTCCAGAGAGGACGCAGGACAACAGGAGGGCAGCGCATCCACAGAGGCTTCCCAGGCTATTATGAGGTAATTTTATTTCTTTCCATTTCAGGTAAAAATAGTAAATACAAGATAATTTTAATAAAGGTAAAAATACATCATTTGGATTTTGTCGTTGTTCTCTGAACAGTGCTACCTACAGTACAATTTTTGATTTAGGATTTTTAAACCTTTTTTTTATATAAACAAATAGAGCGCTTTTGCTATTAGGCTATCTGTGTTCTCATCTGGCACTTAAGAATAGATCACAGGTCACCTCCCAGTTCCTTTGGATGTATGTGGGTGGCGGGGAGGGAGTGAGCAGGGCTGCGTGGGATGAGGCATGATGGCCTCATGAGCCATGAGCCATCCAGGATGGCTTCCTGGATGCAGACAGCGCTGCGGTCCGTGTGCAGTGGGAGGGCACGAGTGTGCATCCGAGATGGCCTTTTCCTGCGCTGGTCACAGGGACATGTGTCACTGTGACTGGCCTGAAGGTGTCACATGCATCGGGGGGGGGGCACTTCCTCCCCTCCTCCTGTGGTCTAGTTTCTCACCCAACAGCCTAGATTCACAACAGTTCTGGGTCCAGGCAGGCCACTGGGCTGCAGATGTCAGCAAGGCTGATCAGGACAGAGCCAGTTGGTCCCCTTAGAGTCCTAGAGGAGTGGCCCAGGGCCCTCCCGACCGGGGCTGGTGGCCAGGGCTTCCCACCTGGCCTTGGAATGCTGGTAGAAGTCACAGGTGCCGATGCAGGCTGTTAAATGTCTTTGCCCTTGTTCGCCCTCAGGTGGTCTTTGTTTAAGTTCTTTCCAAACTTCTCGCTGAGCTGTTGGATGAGGTCTGCCAGCTCGCCGGTAGCTTGAGATTTCTCTTCAAGAAGCTCATAGCGCAGGCTGGAGATATCTTGCTTGATTTCCTTCAGTTCGCCTGCAAGGACAGATGAGATTTTGGTGAGATGAGCCTGCTGAAGGAGCTCAGCCCATAGGCATTTGGGGCGTGCATCCTTCCCACAGAATGTCAGGCTACTGGTCCAGCCCACCAAGGGTGGAGGTGAGGGGACGGGAGCTCTGTTTTGACCTAAATCCCACTCAGCTTCTACCGACGAAGGACCATTCATTCATCTGCTTAAGACCCCTCTCCCATTCCTGGTCACACTCTCCATTAGGGGTTTGGGGTAGATGGAAGAATCAAGATCAGGGTTGTGACCTGCTAACACCGATTTATCACGGTTGTTAGAATGCTGGTTTTGGAGCCATTAGAAGCAGATTTCAAGACTCTAAGCAACACCCTCGTTAACTGAAACATTTTTTTCTCATTATGCTCCATGTTTTGTTCTGTCGTCTCAGGGAGGAGAAGCTCCCAAGCGTCTGAGGGGATCAGCTCAGCACAGTGGCTGCGGCTGTGGAGCCAGGCCTCCTCACAGGGGCAGAGTCTGTCCGCACCACGCAAGCAGCATCCCTCACCGGTGCACCACGGTAGGCCTGCCTTCTCCTCTTTCTCTAGCAAGGGACCACAGGTAGGGTCTTCCGCTTCTTTCCACAGCGAACCATGTGGTTAGGAATCCACATGGGCCTGGGCTGTGGGAATCATCTTATTAAGCACAAAGGGAGTCGAAAGGTTCTCTCCTGGTTTGAGAGATACTGGACTTGGCTCAAGTGTCACATTAGCCATACGTGTTTTTTAAGTATGCCTTATACACAGAAGATGCAGAGGTCTTAAAGGTACCGTTTGGCCAGTTTTGACAAAAGCATACATCCCCTATTTTCTTTCCATGGGGGCTTCTTTGGGCCCCAGTTTCATGGCGTGATTCTAGTGGCGTGAACCTGGGCAGCCCCACCTTCTATGATCAGGTATCTTCCTGTCAATCACGTTACACGCTGTGGGGAGCTGGCTGCCATGACACCCGGCAGTTTTGTATCTGAGACCCAACAGTAGGGGTGGGTAGGTGGGCTGCTGCTCGGCTCCTAGACAGTGTCAGCCCCCGGGGCCATTCGGTCATTGCGGACCTTGAGGCCGCACTGTGGATGTCCCAGGATGAAGCAGAGGGTCACTCAATGACTAGGCTCCTTCCGGAGGCCCCTGGGGCCCTGGCAAGGGAGAGCCTTCATGACTTCACTCTTGCAGGAGGCTCTTTCTAGGTGGCAAATACTTGTCCCAGGTGTCTCATGAAGATTAATTACCTGGTGTATGGTAATTTGCTTTTCGTTTAAGAGTAACTGCTTAAAATAGACTGGAAGATAACCCACACAGGGAAAATAATGTAGTTTGCAAACTTCAGTGGGCATCAGGATGACCTGGCATCCTTATCACGACGCAGACCCCCAGGCCACGCCGATTCATTAGGTCTCGGGCTCTAGATCCGCATTTTTATCAAGTGCTTCTGAGCTGGGGGATTCTTTGAGAAACTGCTGGTTGGTAGCTTCTTAGAGCCAGGAAGTGAAACAGGACAGAGCTAGCTAGAACCGGGGCTGCCGCAGAATCTGAAAGAGGTGTACGGTCTGCTGCTGTCTGTATGTGTGCTCAGGGGATGAAGAATTCGGGGCCATCCTGAGCTCCAGGGACATGAGGCCGACTCACGGCAGCCGTGACTGCACAAGGCAGAAGAACTGTTGTGAGCGGGGCTCCACGCCCTGTTGCTGGTGCTGAGATGGAGGCGCTACACGCCAAGACTGGGGGGCGGCTTTAAGGTCAGAGCTAAGGGCAGCCCCAGCTGATGGTCAGCCAGGGGACAGAGACGCCAGTCCTACAACTCCGTGGACCTAAATTCTGCCAACAGCCCAACGAGCCTCCCCAGGGCCTCCAGACAGGGACGTAGCCCCACTACCAACACCTAGACTTTAGCCTGGTGAGACCACGTCTGGCTTCCGCCCTACAGCAGATGGATCCAATCGCTTACCTTCATTGACTTCGTCATTTTCTCTATCCACCTGGGCCTTCAGGACATATCTTTTTATGAGCCGTTTCATGATTTTCTGAAATGTGAACATAAGGAAGGGATCAAACCAGCCCAGCAGCTGTGCTGTAGGTGTGAGTGCCTTCCCTCCTGCAGGGCCCCTGTCAGCACGGGGGTCCTCCCTTGTCTGATGCCTCACTTTCGAGGGGTGCCCTGCCTAGTGGGGAAGCTTCCAGTATCTCTGGATTCAATACCACCTGAGCCCGGGTTGTGAAAACAGGGTACTCTCAGTGGCAGAAGGCCCAGCCACGGAGAGAGACAGAATCACCTGAGATCCACGGGCACTGCTTGAGGGTCCTTAGGCCTGCCTGTACCCTGGCCTTTGTGACCTTAGCCCATCATGCCCTCTTCTCGGGGCCTGAGCTCCGAAACACTTTCTTGTATTTCAACAACTGATGCGATCACGGGGCAGTAAGGAAACCTTAGCAGGCCAGTGCCGGTGGAACCGCCTCCGTCAAGCTGCTGGGCAGGAGGGGAGGTTCGCTTAGCCCACAGTCAGAACCAGGCACGGAGGACCAGTCCACTGTACTTTGGAAAATTCCTACCAGAGGCAGAGACAGATACAGCCTTGGGAGGGTTGGCCAAGATACCGCTTCCCTGAAGTCTCACCACATGCCCAACACTGTCACACTGTCAGTCACGCTGGAGGTCCCACTTATTATGCAGATTCTATGAGCCAAGGAGGCAGGAACACACAGTTAAGAGCCACCAAGAATAGAGCCAAGTGTAAGAAAGACCGCAGGCGGTGAACTTTGGATTTTGCCAGCTGGTCGGTCCAGGGTTCCTGCGATATCGCAGGATTTAAAAATGTTCTGGTGGCCGAGCCTTCTGAATCTGTTAGGAGCCAAGCAGCACCGTGAGGGGGGGGCTTCCCTGCTCCTCGGCATCCCTTCTGGTGACCGACTGGCCTGCTCACTCTGAGGACCGAGGGGGCAGAGGTGGCATTTGCTAGGTTGAAGGGCCCCGAATTCTGTCCCCAGCTTTGCTGTGTGAGGTCAAGCAGGTGGCTAAGTTCTCTCTGACTACCTGGGCTCAGGAAAAGCTTCTTGCAAGTAGAAGAGAAGTGAGCTGCCGGGATGCAGAGAGCTGGAGGATGGATCTCATTATTATCACCAACTGGTGGTCCCCTCAGGGCCTTTAATGGTGACAGCCTTGCCAAGGAGGCGTCTCCAGCCCTGTGATTCCATGATTCGGTGTCCCGGGACACTGAGCTCTGAGCCAGCTCCTGTGGGCCACTTCTGCCCCTCCTCAGCCCCTGCTGGTGGTCCGCTTGGCTCTGTGGTTTGGGTCGTGCTCTAATTTCAGGCTGAACAGTTCATTAGCGAGTTGCCTTCATGCTGCTGCTTCTCTGAGAGGCCTGGGTCTTGTCCTGTTGGTGGTTAAACTGCAACGCTAGATTTCTCACCGATGGTCTCGTAGTCAATAAGGCAGGTCACCTGAGTTTTAAGAATCTGTGCCTTTTGTGGGACTCGATGCTCTTTTCACTTTGAATTGGAAGAACAAAACAAAATCAACTTTGTCCTGAACCAGTTCTCATGGGGGAAAACCCCAACAAACCAGATACCCAAGTACCTGACATTCTTACTGAATAGGAAATTTGGAAGTATTCTACTGCAAACTTTCAGGCCGACATAAGACAAAGGGATCTAGCTAAAGTTTGTTGCCTTTTTAAAGGAAAACGTCAAGAATTAGAGGTCCTTCCATTTCTGGATCCATCAATTAAACAGACTGTATATTTACGACATAAAATTATAAACCAGAGAATGGAAGTGGAGAGCTCCCTTTTCTGTGATGGAGCTGAGCAGAATCCTTTCACAGCTACGGCAGCAGCTGCCATCCTCCTGGCTTCACGCACACATTGTGTTTTAGTGCAACATGATTAAACTGATGACTTTATAAAAGATTTCATAGTATGTGTTTATTATTAAGACAAATTCGTTGAGTACTTCCTGCAGCCCAGGAGTTGTGTTATCCTCCTTGACAAAATGACCTCATGGAATCCTCCCAGAAACCAGGTGAGATGGGGGTTGTCGTCTCCATTTACAGATGAGGTCCCTGAGGCTCAGAGAGTGAGGTGACTTCTCCAGGGTCACACAGCCAGAAAGTGGCAGATCTGGGATTTAACCAAAATGGAAACCAAAGCTGGGGCTTCGTCCAAGCTTCAGAAAAAGGTTAAATGCACGATGGTTTTGGAGATGAGGTGCAGGAAACTGGCTCCTGTTGGTCCCAGGGGGCTGGGACTACTTCTGGGTACCAGTCTGTCCTTTACAAAGCACAAGGTCTTTTATGCAAGAAGAAGCCTCAGCTAGATTTCAGAGGATGGATTGCTAGCCCGCAGAAGAGGGTCACTGGTATGTCATTGTCCTAAATGCCCGAGGCTTGCTCTTGAACCCTGGCATGCTTGATCTGAGCTGTGGTTTCTGCAGATCTGCAGCTCCAAGGGGAGAGCAGCAAGGGTTTGCTTTTAAGCCTCTCACCACAGATTAGGATTTTAGAGGTTTAATGTGGAAGCAGAATCGCGTGAGCACAGCAAACATGCAGGGACCCTCTAACCTTCCTCCGCACCCCAGGAGTGACATGTACCTTAAGCGAGAACAGTGTGACCACCTGTTGGTTGCTCAGAGACTTCATGCTCTGATGATGACCTAGCTTCCCCTCTGGCATGTGCATGTTAGACCACTTAGGATCTGTGGGAGCAAGATGCCAGTCTCGTCCCCAGCAAGTCTGAAATGGTTAGAAAATGACCAAAGTTCTCTTAACGTGGATGCTACAGAGGATCTCTGTTTGCAGAAAAGATGGACATCAAAAGCCTCCCCTACTTCACTATGTGGAGGAAAAGCATGGTCCTTTGTGATGAGTTTGCGACCCTTCCTGGCCATCTTCCACAGAGTTTTCACTTCATGGAGATAATAAACTTCCCAAATTAACACGCCCTCGTCAGTGCCAACTTGGCCCACTTTGCCCTGAGGCATTTAGCAAGTACTGGAGATGAGAATATTCAGTGATCTTACTCAGGAAAAATAACTAATACTGAGGTACCCGATGGGTAAGAATGGTTGTGACACCGAGACCCACATCCAGGGAGGGAGGCACACAGTTGCTCTGCCCAGACTCCAAGAGCCAGGTGGCCTCTGGCTGCTGCTGGTGAGGAGGGAATGGAAGGGACCGCTCTGTGCAGCCAGGGCAGCTGAAGAGACAAGGAAGAGAATACACATGCTGAACATGGCAAACAAAGTAGCATCCCGAGGAAGGCAATGCTGCCACCTAGGAACAGAGAAATTGAGGAACATTTGGAAGAGAATGGACAAAAGGGATCACAGGACAAGTCATCTGTTAAACTGGGGTTTATCAGAACCCAGAATGGAAGAAATCAGCACTGGCAAGCTGGCTATCCTGTTGGCTTTAATCTCTACAGAAAAGGTCATCTAGAAGGCAAAAAAGAGGACTCCCCACTGGGCTTTGGGGAAGGGATTGCATCATAAAAGTTGGGGCTGTTTTCAGTGATGGACTGTGCCTAGATTCTACGATGCGTTTGTGATGCAGCTCGTCTGCTTTGCCCATGAATGAAATGTATCCTCAGAGACTGAGTATATGAAGTCTGTACACACCCCAACAGGTGGACATGCCAGATGTCTTGGAACAGGTCAAGGGTAGCTTTGATAGGAAACACACTTTGGCCATTTTGCTGGTATCATGGTTTTGTTCCATTGTTTGGTCTCATGTCCACAGAGCCCAGATTGGAAAAAAAAAAATTACAAAAGCAAGGAAGCAATTTTGTGAAAAATGACAATTCAGACCCCTGGAAGCCTAAGAAAAGCAAAGCACAGAGAGCCTCTGAAGTTTGGAGGGACTGCCTTCCCTTATAACAGACAGCCCTAAAAAGTTGAAGGAATGACAAGCTTAAAATAAACACCCAACCTGCTAAATTTGAGCAGTCAAGCAGATGCACTAGTGACACAAAGGAAACAAGCTTAACAACTACACACGTATCAACGGCCGCTTTTATCTTATCCGGATCAACAACCGGGCTTTTCTCTTACCCGGATCGCTCCAGAATGTCTCAGAACCTCGATGGTGAGAGGCTGACAGCATACGGGCTCCGAGAGTTGAAGGCTGTGGGTGCAGCCTGGATGGTAAGAAAGAGGGCGTGAACTGGGTTCCTCACCTCTTGGCACTTTTGGAAGTTGCTTTGAGAGGAAAGCAATACAGCGTGGAAGGCCACCAGTGGGCCCAAGAAATCGGTTGAGCCATTTTTAGATCCCTGCCCAAATCCTTCGTTCTGTACCGGTTGCTGCCCCGTGATAGCAAAAGCACCTTCTGTTCCTAGCTTCCTCCCCACAGGCTCAGATAGAGCTCTTCCCAGGGCCTGTCAGACACAGACAGGGCAGGTTCCGACACTGTGAAGAGGAGTAAGGGGCCAGTGCCCTGGCAGCGTGATGGGGTGCAAGAGGGGTGCCCTTCTGAGTCAGACAGATCTCACTTCAACCATCCGTGTGACCTTTGCCACGAAGCCTGAATTCCCTCATCTGTTCAGTGGGGGTTACAGATCCTGCCTCTCTCACATGCCCTAGTGTCTAGTCTGATCCAGCTGCCTGGCTGTGTCAACTCAACGTTTACTCCTATTTGAGCAGATGATAGCTCAGGAAGATGCCCAGACTTGACCTTGAAGGACTGAGCAAGGTGCCAATGTACAAATGCAAGATGCTTTCTGCTCCATCCACTGTCCTCTCAGCCCTCTCCCTCTGACGCCCACTGGCCCAGTTTTTCTGTCTTCTTTCTGGTGATAACGATTTGAATAAGTCGCCCGAGGCTTTTCTTGCTGGATTCACAAAATACAGGGTGAGCCTGCTTTCCCAGGCCATCAGTAGCCTGAAGCTGCAAACCGGCTAATCTGTGTAATCATAGCAGGAAGCTCTCCGGGAGACTGAAGGCTGCAGGGACTCAGCCAGTGATGATGAAAGACAGAAATGGGATTGCTCAAGACTGCGGTGGAACAGGGCCTCGTTCATAAGGGATTCATCCTGGGTATAGACACTCACCACACCAGCTGCCTTCCTTGATATCAGCTGCTGATTCTGCTCAAAACCCAGGAGAGATCTGGCCCTAATCCATTAGGGTTTTCTTTTCTCTTCTTTTCTTTTTTTTAAATAATTTATTTTATTTATTTTATTTTTGGCTACATTGGGTCTTCATTGCGGCACGTGGGCTTTCTCTAGTTGCGGCGTGCAGGCTTCTCATTGCGGTGGCTTCTCTTGTTGGGGAGCACGGGCTCTAGGCGCGCGGGCTTCCGTAGTTGTGGCACATGGGCTCAGTAGTTGTGGCTCGCCGGCTCTAGAGCACAGGCTCAGTAGTTGTGGCGCGCGGGCTTAGTTGCTCCGCGGCGTGTGGGATCTTCCCCGGCCCAGGGCTCAAACCTGTGTCCCCTGCATTGGCAGGCGGATTCTTAACCACTGCGCCACCAGGGAAGCCCCTGCTAGGGTTTTCTATCTTTTCCGTGACACAGATAATCTCTACTTCTCTCCGAGAAGCTAAGAAATAAAAATCCTTCCCCTGACCAAGGGATTTGGTCCTGTAAAATAAATCAAAGCAGATCCAACTGGTCAGGTCCAATTTTGTGCACAATTAAAGACAAGACTTGCCCTTTGCCAATTTTTAGCCCATGTCATCTGTTAAAACTATAAGTACTATGAGGGATGAGCTGTTTCTTAATTGTACACTTAACTCCTCCGAACTGCACAGCTAGCTTCTGAAATATGGATGGAAATTCAATTAGAGACCTGTGTCTGGAAGATGCTAAGTCTGTAATGGCTCCCTCGGCGATAGTGGCACCAGGGTCATATCACCTTGGCCTGAAGGAGCACTCAGGACAGCTTCAGATTTACATCTGATAGGAGATGGTCAGCATGGGTAAAACTGCTGGTCATTGGGAGTGGGCAAGCAGGAAAAGAATGGCCTGCACTTTTATAATCAATAACCTGTAATAACCATTTATCACTGGCTGATGCAAATGGATACAGAGATTTTGCATTAATTTCCAAAAGCAAAGCAAGAGCTGTACGCACATAAGTTCTCCTAATTTTTATAACAACAGACTTTGCCTGCGGGCAGTCTAAGGTCAGGTGCTTACCGGAAACATCAATATCCACCTGGTTGCTTAAGACAGATCCCTGGGAGCCATCCTGCATGCCTGCCTCTCCCTACCCGGTGCCCGCTGGTTTGCATCACATCCCTTTGGCCATGCATCCCAAACGTATATTTATTTATAAATATATAAATATATATTGAGTCAGTCAGTATATTGAGTCAGTCAGTCTTTCTCCCTCACCCTTCTCACACTCCAAGTCGCCATTCCTTGTACCTGGGTGACTGTCACATCCTCCTCACTGGTCTCCCTGCTTCCACTCTCGTCCTCACTGGTCTCTTCTCATTATAGCAGTTAGGTAGTCTTCTTAAAGCATAAATACAATTTTATCATCTTCTCCCTCCCCCAAGTTAAACTCCTCCCACTGCCTTCCTGGGTACATCAGAGTGAAATCCACCTCCTGACCTTGCTCCAGGCCCCTGATTTGGACTCTGACCTCATCGCCCTCCCCTCTCCCCTACTCAGAGCTCTAGCTGCTGTGGACCCACCAAGCTTCTCCCCTCTAGCTTTTGTTGCTGCTCTTCCTCTGCCTGGAAGGCCCCACGTGGCTGCCTCCTTCTCATCTCTGAGGTTTTAGCTAACTGTCCTCTCCTTGAAGATACATCCTCTGAGAGCCATATCTAAGCAGGGGCTCCCTATTTTTCTCCATTTTAACATCTGATTGTTTTCTTCTTTGCACTTTTATCAATTTGAAGTTACATATTTATTTGTGCATTTACTTGCTCATTGTATCTCTCCCTCTATGGACTGGAAGTGCCAGTAAGATAGGAACCATGTCTGTATCCCCAGGAAGCAGCATGGTGCCTGGCATACAGTAGGCACTCAATAAATATTTGTCGAATGAAGGAAGGAATGAAGCTGTGTTCTGGGGGGAGTGACACAGCCATGTGACTTAATTGATGTCTGAACGGAGTCCGCTTCTGCCCATACCTGGGAAAGGGGTGGTTACCTGATATCTGGTGGGCTTGCTGTAAGTGTTATTTGCTGTCAGGTTTTCAGAATTCCTCATGCCAGCCTGGTAGCGAGTCTTCTGGGAAAAAAAAAATAGAAAATACATAATATATAACACATAATCCATGATACACGATTGTACATACATACATGCTAGGACTCGAGGAGGACCTGCATACGGGGCTGTCTCTAAAATGAGGACCCTCAGGAGGTCACTATACCCACTGCTGCTTGGCTTTCTAGAACGTGTTCCTGGGGCCTCTAGTTCTGTAGGATGTCAGTGGGTTACAAATCACTGTTTGGTCAGCTTTGTTTGGAAAGCACTCAGTTAAAGTGATGTGGGTGTCCTTCCTCCAAGACTCCCCAGAGATTTTAATTTGCTAATAATTGAGAATCTCCAGGAGCGGGAGATAATGGGCAGGGAACCTTTCTTCCCAGTCATCATGATCCAGATACTTTCTGGGAAGAGCTAATCTGCTTCCCAGTCCACTAAGGAGTCCCTCAGTGGGGTCCCGGCTCGGCCCGCAGGAGGAGGGGCACTGCGGCCGGCCGGCTGCCCCTGCTGGGGCTGCAGCTTTGCTGACGCGCTGGCTGATTCTGGAAAGCACGGGGTCCCTCCGGGCTCCTGACTTCCTTTGTATCAGGGGCACCATCTGAATCAAACACACAGCTCCCCCTCCCCCTCCTGCTGCCTCTCTAGCCCCGTAAGTCCCACGCTACCTACCCTGAATTTAGAATTCAGCATGCCCATTTCAAGGTCATTTTCACAGCTTTTGGCCTTAGATTTGCAGAGTTTTATGAGGCACATCTTGATTCTCATTATGAGATAATAAAATGATTTAGGACTTGGCACTAGATTAAAAGGAGCAGGTAGAGTTCTTCCTTCATCAAAATAAGACAGCCAGAGCTTTGCTCGGGCAAACTTCCACTCCACATCTGCATCCTCCTGTGAGGCAAGGAAAATAACAGCACACCATCAGAGGCAGTGCTATCCAACAGCACATAACGTCAGCCGCAAAGGAGAACCACACAAGGGCATTTAAATGTTCTCAGAGCCACATTATAAAAAGTAAAATGAAACAAGTGAAATTAATATCAGTGATGTTTTTTTATTTAATCTGATAGATCCAAAATGTTATCATTTCAACATGTAATCTTTATAAAAATTATTTATGAGATAGCTCAGATTTCCTTGGCATACCAAGCCCTCGAAATTGGCATGTATTCTACACTCATAGCACATCTCAATTTGGACTGGCCACATTTCGAGTGCTCAGTACGTGTGGCTCGTGGCTACCATGTCAGACACCATCATGTGTTTCCTATTAGAAAGTGTATTTCTCATGGGTCAGAGTGCTGTCAAACGATGTTACGAGGTCTAGTGTATGCCATTCAAGGGGAGCAAACCTGATGAGCTGGCAGCAGGTCGTCTGGCCATGCCCTCTTCCCTGGTGGTGGTGGTGGTAGATTTAAAGCCCAGATCTGTTACTTCTGAGTTGGCGGCAATGCCAGAAACGCTGAGTGGGCCCCCCTGAGAGGTAGCAGGTGTGTGTTTTCTGTAGGGAGGCGCCTTGGGCCCCTGTCCTAGGAGGGTAGTCTGAGGCCAGGAAAGAGGCGTGGGGTTTGGAATCAGCTAGACCCCTACTAGCTGTGTGATGTAGGCAGTGGTCTTGGGCTCGCTCCTCTGCTCATGGTGATAGCCTGCTTCCCGCAGCCCTGAGGTCGGCACTGCATATGTGTGCTGTGGGCAGTGGGCTTTTCTCCACACGGGCCTGAGCTACACTTCAAAGGGTTGTGAGCCCAGCAGGGGCCCACATGAGGCTGCTGAGATGTGCCAGGAGAGTATAAGGTCATTACCAGCAGGCTTGTTTTTACTGAGACCCCCTCAGCACCTGGCCTGCTCTATGGGGACATGCTATACAGGTCGTTTAGACTGGAAGCTTTGTGAGGACTGGGGTTGTTCCTGGTCTCGGCTGTACAGCAGAGAGGTGTGGGAGGGACTGCCGACCTGAGAGGAAGGGTGATGCACTGGAGGGAGCACAGGCTCCGAAGCCTGGCTGGGTTCAAACCCTGCCTCTGTTCCTTACTAGCTGTGTAACCATGGCAGGTGACTTAGCTGCTCTGAGCCTCAGTTTCCTCACCTGTAAAATGAGGATAATAATACCTACCTCATAGGCTCTTGTGGGAGTTAAAGAAGTTAATGCGGGAAAAACAATGTCAGATACTTAGTAAACCCTCAGTAAGTATTATTTGTATCTCCATAGCTTAATACATTGCCTGATGTTCAACCTTCAGTCATTCAGCAAACCTCCTAATGTGTGCCCACCTAGCGCTCACCTACTGTGTGCCTGGCCTGTGCGAGGTAGGTACTGGGGATGGCAATCCTGCCCTCCTGGGACATGCAGCCTGGCCAATGACACGAGTATGTTAACTCATCAGCTCTTTGTATCTAGAGCTGGGCTAAGAGCTGGGGGAGGCGCTGGGTGCTGGGGGTCCTGCCCCTGGGGTCAGGGAAGGCTGCCCTGAGGGCTAGCATTTGAGCTGAGATCCAAGGGGTGAGTAGTTCTCAACCAGGTCAAGTGCGGGTGGGCTGGGGTGGAGAAGAGTAGCAGTTAATTAGTGGAGAGGCAGTGAGAAATGTAAACAACTCTTCGTAGGCAGTAAAGAGCAGGAGACAAAGAGGTTCAGAGCTGGAAAGTGAAATGGAGGGAGGATTGTTTGTAGTTACTTTTTTTTTTTTTTAAAGATCAAGAGATGGGACTTCCCTGGTGGCACAGTGGTCAAGAATCCACCTGCCAATGCAGGGGATACTGGTTTGAGCCCTGGCCTGGGAAGATCCCACATGCCGCGGAGCAACTAAGCCCGTGTGCCACAACTACTGAGCCTGTGCTCTAGGGCCCGTGAGCCACAACTACTGAGCTCCCATGCCATAACTACTGAAGCCCGTGCGCCTAGAGCCCGTGCTCCCCAACAAGAGAAGCCACCGCAATGAGAAGCCTGCGCACCACAACAGAGTAGCCCCACCCCCGCTCGCCGCAACTAGAGAAAGCCCGCGCACAGCAACGAAGACCCAATGCAGCCGTAAATAAATAAATACATTTATTAAAAAAAAAGATCAAGAGATGCATTTAAATGCTGACAGGCAGGATTAGCTAGAGAGGGGGAGAGGGTGAGGATGTAGGTGGGGAGGGCTAATGTGCAGTAGCTGATCCCGAGGAGGAGAGAGGGTAGGGGGCCAGGGCGCATGGCTGGGGCTGCTCAGGGGGAGAAGGCCTGTCTGCCTACAGGAGGACAATGGCGGGGGAGGGGGGGCGTGGCGGGCACAGAGGCAGGCAGGTCCATGGATTTGGATGTAGGTGCTCAAGATCTGTTGAATAAATAAGTGTTCTCCTGTAAGAACTGACAAATACGTGCTTCATTAAGGTTCATCATGACCATGAACACTAGGCACGTCCCGGCAGCCGATCTTAGGGTCCTTGTACACGAATCACCAGTGAGACGGTGGGGACATTTGCTCTCACCAGACAAGGAGAAGCCCAGCGCCCAGTGGGCTGCAGTGGGCTCTCTCTGTCACCTGTCACCGCCCTGTGGTGGATAACTTGACGTCATAAGCCGTGGGCTTGCTCACTAGTGCCCCAAACTAGTGGGCATCACTCATGCTAATCACGTGACTTCCCATGTTATGTTCATTTGGACCAACGCACAGTGTGCTCGATAGGATGGGGCAGAACATCTGGGGCGAGTGCTCCAGAAACCCATGTATTCCGGGGACCATCTGGTTTCTCTTACATGTGGGGAAGCTGAGGCCCAGGAGGGCAGGGAGGGTTAGTTAGCAACAGCTCAGTATTCACATAGGTGACCAAGTCTGTAAAACACTTAAATATATATATATGTATATATATATATATGTTGTTTGTCTGCTGGCACAGTGCTGCGTTCTCCTGTAGGTGGCGGGGTGGCAGGGTGGTGGGGCTGGGGGCTAAGACTAAGGCTGCATGCTGGCTCACCTCTTCCTTTCTCCTCTTACCTCTTTTTCTTGCTCAGCCTACACTCTTGCAGCGCAGTGCTGAGTATACCACATTGTTTTATCCCTCCCTGCCTTGGCACATGCTGTTCCTACGGTTTAGAATACTCTTTTGGAGGGATTTTATGGACCAAAGCTTTCCCCTAAAATTCATATGTTGAAGCCCTGACCACAAGTATCTTAGAGTGTGATTATATTTGGAGAGAGGGCCTTTAAAGAGGTAATTAAGGTTAAACGAGGCTGTAAGGGTGGGGCCCTAATCCAATATGACTGGTGTCATCATAAGGACAGGAAGAGATACACAGGGGAGAGGCCCTGTGAGGACACAGCAAGAAGACAGTCATCGGCAAGCCAAGGAGAGAGGCCTCAGAAGAAACCAGTCCTGCCAGTACCTTGATCTCGGACTTCTAGGTTCCAGAACTGTGAGAAAATAACTTTTTGTTATTTAAGCCACCCAGTCTGTGATATTTTGTTGTGGGAGCCAACAAATACATGGAAGTCTTAATTTTTTTCTATACACAGATAATTGTTTCTTATAAAAGACTTAAGTACAGAGGTATACCAAGCAAACGCGAAAGTCCTTTCAAATCTCCTTTCTTGTTTCACTCCCCTCCCCAGAGGATACCCTATTTCTACCTTTGCTTTCTGTGTCTGCACATTTGTATTATTACGTACATGAGACTTGCCTATGGATATTTTTCTACAGCTTGCATTTTTTCACTTAACAATATCATAGAGATTTGCTCTGTCAGCACAGAAAGGTCTTTCTCAATGTTTATAAACAGTATTTTAAAGTCTGTGCTATATCAGTTTATTTAAATATTCCTATATTGATGGGCTATTTCCAAGTTTTTCTTGTAATGAACATCTATGTAAAATCATATGTCTGCACGGATTTGCTGAGTCAAAGGGTCAGTGCATTTTATTTTGTTTTAATGTTGCATTTATTTATTTGACTTTTAATAGGTAGAACAATGACATGATTTCTAAGCATCAGAGCGTATAAAGAGAAAGCCTGTAAACCCACCATGACCTCTAACCCCTACCTCTCAACAGGCGCCCCTTGCTGTGCCCTTCTTGTGCACCCTTCCAGGTTAGTTTTCTTTTTCAAATGATTATATGATCAAAAAGGAATACGTGTTCCTTTTTCTTCCTCTCTACATAGAGTACAATATATACATTGTTCTGCAACTTGCCTTTTCTCTACTTACCATTATAATTGGAGGTCTTTCCACATCAGAATATAGAGAAAGTCCTCATCCTTTTTAAAAGCTGCACAGTTTCCCACTGTTCAGATCCATCATAATCTATTTAACTAGATTCCTAGTAATGCTCATGTAGTTTGTTTTTCATTTCTTGCTGTTCCAAACAAGGCTGTAATCAATAGTTCACGGTTTGTGCATTTTAGATTTTGGTAAATTGCCTCCTGATATACTGTCTTGACTCCTTTGTCTGTCTAGCAAAACAAGGCTTTGAACGGCCTTCAAGTATCACCTCTGCAAGCCTCGGCGCCCCCATCGTCATGCACTCTCTCTATTCTGCACCTCCTACACCTTCTAGGACTTCTCTGGGTGCACTGGCCCCACTGCACTGTAATTTGTTGATTGATGTATCTGTTTTCTCTCACTGGACTGAGTGAGAATCTCTTCAAGGGCAGAGATCATGTCTTGGTTATCTCTGTATCGCCAGTGCCTAGCACGGGCTTGGCTTTATTAAGTAGGTACTTAATAAATAACTCGGGAGAGGCAGAAGTGAATGTAGGGTGGAAGAAACAGTCATTCCCATTTGCCATGGGTCACCTGCATGCTGTCCTGAGGGGACACATGTAAAAGAGGAAAGATTCGTGACCCTGTTTCTTTCTGCCCTCATTGGGCCATTGCATGCATGGTGCCTGCCGTGTATCATGGCAGGTTAACTGGAAGTGCTTCTTGGAGCGATCCAAGGAAAATGTCTGTTGTTTGCTGTTCTGGCTTCACATTTAATAACACATGAGCTTCTGACATCATTACCCCATTGCTGAAAACAGTGATGCAAATTAAACCGAGGGAGAGAGAGCATTTTCAATTAACTGGTCTTACCTCAATTTCCTGATACGAGTTGTTGATCATGGCTATTAGCATGTTGAGCAGCACGACCACCATGGTGACATTATAAACACCGTAGAGAACATAGCCAATGTTCTCGATGAATTTGTGGTCATATTTCAGCACCACCGAGATCACTTCAGACAAGCCAAAGATGGACCAAAATAAGGTTTTGAAGCTTTCTTCAACCCTGCAAGGAAACAGACAGTCCTCTCAGGAGGTTTGCATCTGCTGACACTTCTCACAGGAGAGTTGCCACTACCCAGACATCCGTGGTTACCCTGGAGTAGGGCTGGGGCTGCTAGCTGGTATCTGTACTCTGAAGTCATGAGATATTCAGGTTTCTAAGAAGACTTTGAAAGAACATGGTAAAGGGTAGACTCTTTCTTTTCCATTCAACCCTTTTATTGGGACCCTTGGCTGCAGCATCAGTTTTTATCTTGTTGCAATTACTTAAACATTTAAAATTAACCACCAGGGCAAATGTTTGTCCTTGTAGGTTATTAGCTTCAGAAAGCACACTCTTCCTTCAGTAGTCTCTTGAGTGTCTCTTCTCAGACTACCCAGCCCCACAGGAGAGGGAAGAGGATGGTGTTCGCTAATGGAGCCAGCATCATTGGCGACTGGGGCTTGCTGGGCATTTGACACAGGACAGCGCGCTTAAGCCCTGTGACCACCTCTGTGGTGGGCTGGCTTATTCCCTCCATTTGACAGCTGGAAGTACTGACGCTCAGAGCCTTCCATGCCTTTCCCAGGAGCACTCAGCTGGCAGGTGGGTGCAAATCCAGGCATGTCAGAGGTTTTCAAAAGCAGGTCCTTCTAACCACTATGCTTTACCGCCATCCTGGCTCTGGGTAGTGAGGCCAGCCACATATATCGGGTGCTCTAAACTGGGGATGAATTTTCAGGAATGAGAGTGATGAGTCTGATGTGTCCATGTTGATCAAATTCACCAGGTAACTGCCCAAACCTCACCCTGCAGCTCACTCAAGGTAGACACTGCATGTACTGTAAGGGCTGCCCAGGGAAGAGCTGGCTTTTAGGACACTGCTCTTTGACACTTGAGGTTATCAAGTCACCAAATACACTGGTTTTAAGAGTAAGGCCCAAGCACGTCTCACAGTCTATACTTTGTGGCTCTGACCCTATATCAGGTTTGTGACACAGAATTCAATTAGAAAGCTGGATTTTGGTTGGGTGGTTTAGAACATGCCTGTGTGTGATAATATCTGAATGGTTAAGTGCAGGTCTTTTAGTTTGCATCCAGAGTTTGGGTCCTATTATGAGAAAGCACTTTCTTTTTTCTCTTTAACATTTCAGATTTTTAGCACTTACCACAAATGGCCAGGATTAGCTAGATCTCGGGAAAAAAAATCAGCGTTTTTTAAGGATTGGTATTTATATGACAAGATGTACAAAAATACTAGTACTTGTCACTTTGGCTAAAAGTCCAACACTGACTTGCATGAATTTTCAGCTCTCCTGTGTGTGAGAGAGTATGTGTGTGTGTATGTGTGTGTGAGTGTGTGCGTGTACGTGTGTGTCTAGCCAGCTGTTTGCTCATTCCCTGTGCATCTCAGAGTCTGAAAACTGAACACTGAACTGAGTTTTTGTTGTCATTATTTGTTTTTGTTTTCTTTTAAATCTGTGAGTTTGGACTATTTAATTTATCTTAGTTTTAGTAAGAAGGAATTTAGTTAGGGATTTAGCAATAAAGACTGGGTATCGAGCTATTATTTTAGAGCTCCAGATCCTGATGCTATTCTGAGAAAGGGGCAAAACTGTTTCCTCACTTGAGATGCAGCGTCTATTTTGTGTGAAAAAGATGCCGTTCCGTGTGTGGGCATGATTCACTGCAGGTATTGCCTTCCATTAAGAAGCAATCTTTCATCTATCACCCTAGTGGAAGGGGACAGTGGCAGAGAGAATCTAAAACCACTGAATGAGCCCCAAATCAAAACTGAAAGGAGATGGCAGGACATGATTTCTCTGACACTTGGTCCCTTCCTAGCAGGGTCAGGTGAAAACCAGAGGACACGCTGTCCAAGGGAGGGGCTGGGCAAACAGGTACTGGTGCAGGATAATGTACTTACCAGGAACAACTTAAGAAGTGGATGATACATCCAACTGAGGGACATTTAACAGAAATTCATTTTCCCTTTCTTAACTTGGAGAACCCCACAAACCTTTGGCTGACATAAATGAAGCAAGCAATTCTAAGCAATTCTAGAACGCATCCAGGGAAAACCTTCTGCATTTTGATGAGGGAAAATGGCCTAGATTCGGCATGCGTTTTGTTCTCATTTGCTTCTTGCTGTGAATTTTGTTACTAAGCTCTGATTTATCCCTGGTGCCTTCCCTTAGGCATTCTGTGTTAATAATCTGGAGGGGACAGAGCCAGCCCACTAAGCAGTATGTGTTCCAGTAAAAGAAGAATATTTACAGATCCCTAAACCTATGCCTTTGCCCCTCCTCTAACACCCCACCTCCACTCCCAAGGCTTGGAATGCTCATCTGTTCAGTTTGTTGTCTGGGTGTCAGACAGTCTTCACACCTGTTTCATTTCTATTCTATAGCTTCAGGACTCACCTCTGGACTAGTATTTGGTCATGACCTCCAAGAGAATCTAATTACAAGTGGCCCAGACTCACTGGGATTGCCTGAGTGGAAGTAACCCCCCTCCAAAGCAATAATCCTCTGCATCAGGCTGGGCAGGAAGGGATCTTAGCCAAACTATGCCTTTTTAACAAACTCTTCTATGTTCTTTAGGGAGTGTCTATAGCCCTTGCTTCCTCTTATCATGGGGCAAAATGAGTTGCAGTGACAAAAACTTCCTTTAAGGAAAAGCTGGGTTCATTGTCTTGGATCATCCACAATGGCTAGATTCACTTTTGGGGTCTCTTGGGACTTTCATTTGTACTCACGCCCCGTGACATGAACTTTCAGTGGACTAACTGAATAGACTATTTTTGCTGTTGTTGTTTCTCAGAGGGGATATTATGGGCTGAGTTTATGTCCAGTTAGCTGGGCTAAGTGGTAAGCAATACACTATTTTATCCATAGCTCAAACCACCTAACTAAATAAATTCTAAATGGAATTGAAGCATTTAATGTTTAAAAACTACATAGTCAAAGCCAGAGTAAAATATTAGTAGTTATATAATCTTGGCCTGGGAGACGTTTCAAAACTACAGAGGGAAAGTTTGAAAGATATGCTCACATAAAACTTTACTTGTAGATATTGAAAACATATTAAGTAAACATATAAGGCAAAAGACTGAGGAAAGGATTTGTATTTGCAACACATATGACAATGGATGATGTCTTTCTTACATAAAGAGCTCTTATAAATCAATATGAAATGATAGACATCCTTGTTGAAAAATAAAAGGAGGACAAAATCTTTCAGGAAAACTTGATGCTTTTTGTGGTGACAAGAGCTCCACAAGTAACTTGATAGGTCAGGTTGGTGGTGTCTTCTGGTTTAATATGTAGTGGGAAATAAGTGAAACGTGTCCTCACTGCGTTGTGTTATGTTGACTTTGGAAACCTATAATAATATATGCTTAGAGAGAAGGCTGGCCTTGGAGAGGAGTGAGTAGTACATTCCTCATCCCAAGAGCTTGGGCACTGGAGTGAGCCCCAATGTCTTGTGAAGTAATGATACTCTCAGAGTCATGTACCAGCCATCGCCCATAATTTTCAGGAGCTATGGGATACAGGGCATGGTGCAGAAGACCAGTCACTGAAGAGGTCTGGGACTGTCTTTCAAGAAGAAAGTATCTTGCAGTTGAGGTAGATGATATTCACCATGAAGCCACTTGTCTCACAAAAAGTCCCCATTGTCAGATAGCTGGTCTCTAGGCTAAATTTGAGGTTCTTTACTGATAGAGATGGTGGCTGCTCGTTCCATATCCTCCTCCCACCCACTCTGGCTCTCTGCCAAGTTTGCCACAGATTCCTCCAATTGCGTCAGTCACAGGAATCTTCACAGAGATAGCCGGAGGAGTAAGAAAGCAAAGGTGCATACCTGGTTCAAATCCCAGCCCCATCATGTACCGGCTGTGTGAGCTTGGGCATCTTACAAAACCTGCTTGAGCCTCAGTCTGCTTATCTATGAAAGGGCTAATAGTACCTTATTATTAAGTTGCTGTGAAGATTAAATGGAGCAACCCATTTAAAGTGTATAGTAAGAGTCCAATAAATGGTACCTGTTATTTTTATTCATGTGTTTATTTGCCAAACATTCACTGAACTCCAGCTATGTGCCAGGCACCATACAGAGCAGGATGCAGGGGGCACAGAACTTGTTTATCTCTGTGGAGGTCCCAGTCTACAGCAAGCCCACTGGTGTGAGCCAGTACTATAAGGCTGTGGGCAAGGATGCTCTGGTCGCCTTGCCCTACCCAGGAACACATACAACCCCATCAACCTTCGGGTGCCTCCACACAGGGCTGAATGGAGTTAACAATTCAGCTGCATACTGACTTTTCTGAACAAGGCCCGTTTTCCTTCCTATCTGCAAGGATCATCACCAACCCTTGATTTCATGCAAATCCTCTTTCTGATTTCTCCAGCCTGTGCTGTCTTTGATTGTTTGACTTCTGGCTTGCAGTGGAAGGGGCTGAGGTTTCATCAATAGGCCACCCTAGCCTAAGAACTGCTCCTAACGAAGTCAAAGGGGAAAAGTGCCTGAGAGTGACGTTGACTAGATCGTGATTCACCCTCCTCTTACCCGGTGGGGGTGTGTGTGTGTGTGTGGGAAGGTTGGGGCTGACTTATCATGCAGACGGCAGGAGCGAGGTAATCCGTTCTCTACCAGGTCTGTCTCGCCTGGATAACAGCACTTTAATAACGGGTTGTCTGAAGAGGCAGTTGTGTATGGGCCTCAGAGAACAAACGGATTAACAAGGCGAGGGTTTGGGGCAATTGTTATGGAAATTGCTGCTGCTTCGGGGTGCCATGAGGCCCTCCCCTCAGTGTCATGGAACTCTGCCCCCCACCCCAAACAGTTCAGTTCAGGGTTACCTACCCAAATCTGCAAGTAGCAGCCTCAAATTAAGCAGGAGGAATCAGCTCCTGAAAGGCTGTCTTCTCAAGTTCGAAGACAATAGCTGGCCTTGAGCTAGAGTTCTGCTGAAGCAGAAGCAATGCTCACTTGCCATCCCAGTGGGGACTGCTAGAAGGTGT